ACACTCAACGCTATAAATAAATATAGGATGAAATGCCTATAAAAGCTACAAAAATACATGTTTCAATATGCATTGATCTCTTTTTAATGATTTGAAAGATTTTTTTATTTTTATTTTTTATTTTTCTTTTCTTTTTGCTCAAGTACTAGTATATATACTAGTACATATATATGTAACATGTACATATACATGTAACATATATATATAAACGTAAAAAGCAAATTTTCTTTTTTGAATATTGCGGGAAAATTTCTTTGATGATCAAATGCATAGGCATAGCACAAATTACTATAAGCAGTAAAACTACTAACCATTTATAGTAAAAGCTACTTATACCACATAACAAACTCATTATGCAGCATAACTATTTTTGGTAAAATAGGTCAAACAATATTAAATAGTGTTAATAAAAAGATGCTACTAATAAAACTTTTTAATTTTTTTAGCTAATTTTCTTCAATGATTTATAGTTTAACCTGTTTATTTATAAATGTATTAGGTAATATTGCTTTAAAAAAATCAAACTTTGCATATAATCAAAATTTCTCTGAATGCTATGTTTTTTTACTAGTTACACAAAACCGCCAATTATGATTGGCTAATACCATGTGATCTACAATGTGATTTCTAAATTATACTAGGAACTGGGAACCAGTATAAGTCCGAAGCATAAATCTTAAATAAATATATTAAAAAAACAATAAATTTAAAACTACTACTATATGTATTTAAATATAGTATTTAAACTTTCAACTTCTAATAAAAGTTGTAGAGAGGTGTCTTGTGATCAAAATAGTAGTTAAAATATTAAAATCGACCCAATAGATTACAAGATATAAGTATTTTTGTCTCACAATTATATGTTTTTTTTTTATATATATACTGTAGTTGTGAAGAATAAAATACTTATATTTTGCAATTTATTGGGCTAATTTTAACATTTTAACTACTATTTTGATAACACAGCAGTATTCTACAACTTTACTTATAAACTGAAAAGAGATTGACTAAGCAAAATTTTAAAAATCACAAGATTTTTATAATTTTATTAATAAAATTATGAAAAATATTAAATTTACAAAATTGTACCAATTAAACCTACCTTCATGTTCTATGTAAACTTGTTCTATACATAAAAATACATTATATTGGTATACGTTTACATTATAATTTTTAATTTTGAATTTTTAATCAAAAATCAAAATTAAGCATTTTTTTTAAAAAATTTAAGACTATAAAGTAAACATATACTGATACAATGTATTTTTACGTGTAGAACAAGTTTACTTAGAACATAAAGGTAGAATTAGATAGTAAAATTTTGTGAATTGTAACATTTCCTATAATTTTATTAATAAAATTATAAAAAATATTGTGATTTTTAAAATTTTGCTTAGTCAATTGCTTTTTAGTTTATAAGTAAAGTTGTAGAATACAGTCTTGCGATCAAAATGGCAGTTAAAACGTTAAAATCGGTCTAGTAGATTGTGAGATATAAATATTTTAGTCTTCATGACTATATACTTTTTTTTTATTTATAAAGAAGAAAACATATAATCATGAAGACATATTTCGTGATCTACTAGGCCAAATTTAACATTTTAATCGCCATTTTGATCGCAAGACACACCTCTACAACTTTTATTAGAAGTCAAAATAAAGGTTTACTTTGGCATTACAAACAGAAAATGCCACAATTGCATTTTTGATATTTTTACTATAAATATATCAAAAAGGTAATTTTGGTCATTAAATCATATAGAAATATAAGTTTTACTTCGCTTTGAACAATTATGATATATTAAACTTTTCAGAGAGCTATTTCCTTTAATATCTAAATTACAACATATTAGCCGATTTTGATTTTTGGGCCTTTTTTAGATCAAAAGTTACACAAATTTTTGCTTCTAAGTAGTGTTAAAAAGATAACAAACGAAGTACTCATACAACTAATTAAAATGCTTTTATAGCGTCTAGACAAGATAAAAAATGAAAAAAATTAAATAAAACAGCTATGCTAAGCTATAGAAAGATGTATTTTCACTGTTTGTTGATATATTCAGATATTCTAGAATTGGTTCATCATTTTTGATTGGTTGGTAACTAACAAGAGTGAATTCAGAAGCAAATTTTTTAAAAAATGGCCTTTTTAACCTACTTTTGGCCTATAATAAAACATGCAAATCTCATAATTTTCTACGTGTTTAATTAAAAGTACAAAGTTTGTTAAAAAGGCTGTTTTTATAAAAATTTGCTTTGTAAAAATTTTAAACGTAAAATTTTTTAAAAATCCTCAATAATGATTGGTTGATTTTGGGGTCAAACCAAATCAGCCAATATGGATATCAGTTCATCTAATTGTTCAAAGGATACTTATATAGAATCTGCTATAGTAAGATTTATCTCCATGCTGATTCATTTTGCAAATGAGCTGATTAGCATTTCTTTGGATAGGAGGCTTCCAGAAATTACGTAATTCTGGTGTGGGTGGATGGGGTCCCCGTTAATAATTCTGCTCAAAATTTTATAATTCTGGCCAAAATTATAAAATTATATAATAATAAAACTTAAAACTTGAATAACTTTTGATATACTGGGCCTATTTAGATAATTTAACTACCAAAATAATTCTCTCAATAAGAGGAGTTTAAAAAGCTCAAAATCATTAAAATCTAATCACAGGATTACAAAATAGATAATATTTTGTATTATTTTATATATGTTTAAATAATACAAAAATTATCTATCTTGTGATTTTGTAAATGGATTTTAATGATTTTGGGCTTGTTGAAATCTTTTCTTTTAGAGGATAATTTGGTAGTTAAATTATCTAAATAGGCATAGTAGATCAAAAGTTATTCAAATTTAAAGATTTTATTATTATATAATTTTATAATTCTGGCTAAAATTATAAAATTATATTAATAAAATCTTTAAACTTGAATAACTTTTGATCTACTAGACCTATTTAGATAATTTAACTACCAAAATAATCCTCTCAATCAGAAAATTTTAACAAGCCCAAAATTATTAAAATCTAATTACAAGATTACAAAATAGATAATATTTTGTATTATTTTATAAATATTATATTTAAATAATACAAAAAATTATCTATCTTGTGATTTTGTAATTGGATTTTAATATATTAGGCTTGTTAAAATTCTCTCATTGAGAGGATTATTTTGGTAGTTAAATTATTTGAATTGGTTCAATAGATCAAAAGTTATATTGCTAATAATTAACTCTTTCTAATGATTACTTGTACCAAAATTTCAACTAACAGAAAACAAAATTTTTGTTAGAGAGATGTGGCTCTATGGTGTGGTTTGTTTAGAGATCAACTACTTTTCTAAGGGACTTCTCTAAAAGGATGTTCAGCATGCAAGCCAGAAGTATTATTATACAAGATAACTGGCAAGGGCTTGCTACCCTGATACCCTTGTATAAAAAATCTTAGTGAAGGGAATAAGTTATATAGTAGGCTACTACTTTGTCAATGAAGTCCTAGATCGTTACTTCGAAGAAGAACACAGGGGAAACAACAAAAGTTTTGAATTTTAATACACTCTTTAGAAGTTTTGAAAGTACCTGCAACCGAAGACTGTCTACTATATTTTTACTATTTTGGAATTTTTTTTTGAAATTTTTGCCAAAAAGTGGGAAAACTAGTGTATTCTCACCAAAAGATCAGTAGTGTTTATTCTTTCCAAATTAGAATGCATCTACTGAAATGAAATCTCCCATGAGCTTATTTGGATTATGCTTTGCCAAATAAACAATAATAGCAGTACTGTTTACAGTATAGGGGATCAGAGAGATCATGTATAAAATTTCTTAATGTTAGATGTTTTCTTTTATTTTCTTTTCCTCCTCTATTATTACATATAGTGTTAAATTAAATTTTATTCTATACAACATTATATAATTTATGTAGCCTTGTACAGGCAAAAATAGTGCCATTATAGCTATCCTTTTTTTGCCTTTTTTCTCCTTTTCTCTTTTTTTTCTTTTGTTTGTTTTTTTGTTTTCGTTTAGTTTAGATTTTTTTTCTTTTTTAGTATTTCTTTTATTTTGTAAATTTCTTGTTGTTTTTTTGGTAGAATTTTTCTATTTAGAAGGCTAGAAGAAGAAGATTAAGAAAGAAGGCGGTCATGATGGGCTGATGAACTAGGTTGGTGAACCGGGGTGGATCAGCTTAATATTGGTTGAACCAAACTGGGAGATTAAAATTATCTTTGGCAGGTCGCACACAGGTGCATGAATATTTAGGTATTCTATATAAATAACCAGGTGAGTTACATACCTGTATCTTTGGATATATTCTTTTTTCTTCAGATTAAATTAATGATCAATAAAGCACGGACATGTAGCATGATTACTAAAAAAAAAAAAAAAAAAAAATAGATCAAAAGTTATATAAATTTAAAAGATTTTATTAATTAATACTATTTAAAATTTTTATAAAATTTGATTGGTTAATAAAGTATTAGGTGTGGGTGGGTAAAAATGAAATTTTGAAATTTATTAATAACAAAATATTACATAATTTCTGGAAGCCCTTATAGTTCTTATGATTTGTCAAGACTACTAATTACTTTTCTACTATTCTGCTCTTTAACTATCATTTATCTATCTTAATACTTCATTTTACAATATTAAAAACAGATTTCCATCTTGCTTCAACTTCTTTCTTTTTATTTTTTTCTTCTTAAGATCTGTCTAGTATAGTTCTCTCTTTACTGGGTTTTTTCTATTTCTTCTTTCTTTTCTTTTTGGCATCTGTGCTAGATCTTTTTTTTTTACATTATACTATTTTCTTTTTTCTAATCTTATACTAGTTTATATCTTGAAACTTATATTAATTCATGAATCTTTTTTATCTATCTTTTTCAAAACCTAATTATGAAATCTCTTGCTTGTTTGTTTAAATCAAAGCTTTGCTATATTTTTTCAAAGTCTTCTTTTATGATTAGACCTCTTATTCACCTTTCTTTTTTTCAAAACTCTTCGATTAAAGTTCTTTTTCCAATCATAGCTAGGATCTCTTCTTTCTTCTTATACAAATCTTGTGTTTTTTTCATTTCTATAAGGGTTGACTTTACTTCTTGTTCTTCTATACTTCATATTGAATTTAGTGAAACTTTACAATTTACATCAGCAAATTTAATAGGGCATAATATTGCGCAATAATTTACGAAGTGTAAGAAAACCGTAATATTACATAATAACTTTCGCAATATTGCGAAATATATAATTACAAAATATTATGTAAGATAATTACGCAATATTACGCAAGAAATAACGCAATTTTACGCAAAATAATTCGAAATAATTCG